CCGTGTTGGAAAACAGACAGTCTTTCAAATATTAAACAAAGTTACTGTATGACCTAGCAGTTTAACTCCTAGCTATATGCTGAAGAGAAATGAAAGCGTATGTCCATGCAAAAACTTGTACACAAATGTTCGTAGTAGCATTATTTGTAATAGCCAAAAAAAGGAAACAACCCAAATATCTATCAGTTGAAAAATGAACTGGAATATTATTCAGCTGTAAAATGAAGTGAAGTAAGTGATACATGCTACAACATGGCTGAACCTTGAAAATATTCTGCCAAATAAAAGAAGCCATATACAAAAGGCCACATATTGTATGATTCTACTTATATGAAATGTCCAGAATAGGCAAATCAATAGAGACAGAAAGTAGATTAGTGATTGTCAGGGGTTGAGGAAGAGGAGAATGGAGAATCACTGCTAATTGGTACAGCGTTTCTTTTGGGGATGATGAAATGTGCTGGAAGTAGATAATGGTGATGGTTGTACAACTTTTGAGTATACTGAGAACCAGTCAATTGTACACTTTAGAAGAGTGAATTTTACAGTCTATGAATTATACTCAGTTTTTTTAAAAAGTGATGTGTGTGTGCCTAGATAAACTCGTTGCCACTAAGTCAATTCTGACTCATATCGACCCTATAGGACAGAGTAGAACTGCCCCATAGAGTTTCCAAGGAACAGGTGGTGGATTTGACCTGCCAATCCATTGGTTAGCAGCCAAGCTCTTAACCACTGGGCCACCAGGGCTCCATTTGCCTAGATACTGGTTTCTAAATACTACTGTCCAATAAAAGGAATTAGAGCTCCTTGGAGAATAGATTGATTTCATGGTTGGGGCAAGGAAAATGCAAAAGACGTCTAGAGGATCTTGTAGTGTCTGAAGGTACAGAAGTGCTCAAAAAAAGGATAGGAGATGTTAAAAGGACACAAGAGGCATTCTGAGGGAACTCCCAATGGCCAAAACTGAAACAATTTTAGCAACAAAATAAAAATTGTAGTATTAGATTATAATCTGTAGAATAAAATAAATAACTGTGAGTCCATACTAATATAACCAAATGATTGAATAAGTAAATAAACAAATGGGGAAGAAAGGACAGCTCTCTCTTACTGAAGAATTCTGATAAATAAAGCAGTAATGAGGGAAATAGAAAATCACCATTAGGCAAATACCACAGTAATAATTGTAGGCAGGATCCACTGATGGAGGCTAAAATTAGTGGGTGAAAGTTTGAAGAGAAACAAGATACTTGCATGGTCACAAAGTATTTCCCAAAATATATTTATTAATTATAAAGGAAATAATAGTAACTTTTTTCCAGTGAAGAAATCTGGCAGACACCACCCTAACCACGTTAACACACCAGGAATACCACCACCACCCCCCCAAAAAAACCGAACCCATTGCCATCGAGTCAGTTCCAACTCATAGCCACCCTATAGGACAGAGTAGAACTGCTGCCCCGTAGGGTTTCCAGCGAACTGCTGGTGGATTCGAATTGCTGACCTTAACCACTTGCATGACCAGGGCTCCTCACCAGGAATAAGACCTACCAAATTAATTTCATTTACTCTTAGTTATGATGCACTGCAAAGGACACATCATCATTTCTGTGACATTCTTGCCAATAATGCATAACCTCAGTCTAATCATGAGAACATCAAACAAACCGAAATTGAGGGACATTCTACAAAATAACTGACCAATACTCTTCTAAAGTATCATGGTCCTGAAAGATGAGAAGACTGAGGATCTGTAACAAATTGGAGGAGATTAAGGAGACATGACAAATGCAGTGTGGGATCCTGGATTGGATACTGCAACAGAAAAGAATTTTAGTGGGAAATCTGGTAAAATTTGAATAAGGTCTGTAGTTAATAGTATTTTACCAATGTTAATTTGCTGATTTTGATAATTGTACTGTGATTAACATTCGAAGCTGGGTGAAGTATATACAGGAACTCCTTACTATTTTTTTAAATTTTCTATAAGACTAAAATTATTTTAAAATTAAACTAAACATTCAGTTCAAAAGTTAGAAAAAGAACAGTAGAGCAAACTGACACAAGAAGAAAGGGAATAAGAAAGATAAGATCAGAAAATGAAATAGAAAAGTTGAGGAGTCTGGCTCTTTGGAATAATTAGTAAGCCAAATTTCTGGCAAGACTGATTAGGAAAAAGATGTGAATACACAAAATTCAGAATGAAAACTGGGAAATCTACTTACTGTATTCCTTTTAATGACATCATATCTGGCTGGGTTCTCTGCGGTTGCTGTGATTAATAAGCAGATACTTTGTGGAAATCAGTGTAGAACAGGAAATGAGTGGCAGTGGCCAGTCTGATTCCAGAGTTTGAGAAGTTAGGCAGTGCCCGACAGATGCTAAGTTTTTTTTAGCCTAACTATTTGATAAACAGAACTGTTCATCTTTCAGCGTTGAGGTGCCATGGAAAAATTACTAAACACTAAAGGTCCCAGGAACCAAGAGAATTTGGAAACTTACATAAAATGGATAAATTCCTAGAAAAAAAATGCTAGGTAGCTTGAATAGAATATGAAAAATACTGAGATAATAGTCAAAAATCTATGCCTGGGTGATAAAAACCAAACCAAACCCGTTGCTGTCGAGTCGGTTCCGACTCATAGCCACCCTATAGGACAGTGTAGAACTGTCCCATAGGGTTTCCAAGGAGTGCCTGGTGGATTTGAACTGCTGACCTGTTGATTAGCAGCTTTAACTCTTATGCCTGGATGATAGTACTAGTAAATTCTACCAAATTTTGAAGGAACAATTAATTCCTTTCTTAAACAGGTTACTACAGAAAGTGAGAAAAAAGTAAAAGCTGCCCAGCTCTTTTATGAAGCTAGTATGATCTTGATTCTAAAAGTTGATAAAGCCAATACAAGAGGGGGAGACATATAAAGCTGTTCCTTTTATTGCTATAGAGCAAACGATCCTAAATAAAACATTAGCTATCTGAATCCAAGAGTGATACATCACAAATACATGGAGTTTAGCCCAGGAATCCAAAAGTAGTTCAACTTTAAAACATATATTCATGTAATTTACCATTTTAGTAGTCCAAAGAAGAAAAATAGGTTCTTCTGATTTGATTCAGAAAAGTATCTGAAAAGCTTCAGTAGCTGTTTATGATATAAATTCTTAGTAAACTAGGTATGTAAGGGAACTTTATTATGTATCTGGGTGTTGAATTTTGGAAACGTTTTTGTTGCTGACAATTTCAAACATAATAAAAGTAGAATGAGTGGTATCGTGGACCTGACATGTACTCATCAATCAGCTTCAGCAGTTATCAACATACGGCAACTCTTTTTAGTCTATACCCCCTACACGTATTCTTTTTCTTTTTCTGTCCTGCCAGATTACTTTAAAGCAAACCCCAGACATCATACCCTTTTATCAGCAGATACTCAGTATGTAGTTTCTTTTTTCTCCACAACCATTAACACCCTATAAAATTAACACTAATTCCTTAATGTCATTTAATGTGTAGCTAGGGTTGAAATTGTCCTGATAGATTCATAAATGTGAATCCAAAGTTCACACATTGCATTTGTAACTATGCCTCGTAAGTGTTTTTTAAGTCTATAATAACTCCTTCTCCATCTTTCTTTTCTTATCCTTTTTTTTTCTTTCTCTCTGTTTATGTAACTAAGAAATTAAGTATCTTAGTTATCTAGTGCTGCTGTAGCAGAAATACAGGTGGATGACTTTAGCAAACAGTAGTTTATTTTCTCACAGTTGAAGAGGCTGAAAGTCCAAACTCGGGATGCGGACTCTAGGGGAAGGCTTTTTCTCTGTGTCAGCCCTGGAGGAAGGTCCTTGTTTCTTCTGAGCTTCTGCTTCTAGGCGATCTTTGTGGCTTGACATGTCTCTTCCTTCGTCTCTGCTTCTCTGCTTGTTTAATCTTCTCTGCTTGCTTGTTGAATCTCATTTATATCTCAAAAGAGATTGATTTAAGACACCCCTCCACTCATCCTGTCTCATTAACGTAACAAAGACAGCCCATTCCCAAATGGGATCATAACCACAGGCATAAACCCATTGCCTTCCAGTCGATTCTGACTCATAGCAACCCTATAGGACAGAGTAGAACTGCCCCATACGGTTTCCAAGGAGCACCTGGTGGATTTGAACTGTGACCTTTTGGTTAGCAGCTGAACTATTAACCACTACGCCACCGGGCATAGAGGTTAGAATTTACAACACGTATTTTTGGGAGACACAACTCAGTCCATAACACCAGGTCGTTTGTCCTGTGGAACTTTCCACATTGTATTTTTGTTGATTGTATCCCTATAGTGTTGCATAACATGATTCTGTATTTTTTCTAAACAGGTAGTTAGTCTTGATTAAATTCTGTTGTGGCTTTTTTTAGGGGGGAAGAGGAGGGCCTTAACTTCATAAGGATTGGTGTATAATTTCTCAATTCTTCGTGTGTCACGTGATGCTTGGCTGGCTTTCATTTTGTTAAGATTGATCAGTCAGTTCAGGTGTTTGATAGATAGATCAGTACATGCATACATACATCAACCTTTTTACCTAATTTTTTTTAGCAGTCACTGATAATTGCCTAGATCTATTATTTCATTGTTGTTGTTAGATGCTGTTGAGTCGGTTCCAACTCACAGTGACCCCACGTACAACAGAATGAAACACTGCCCAGTCCTGCGCCATCCTCACAATCATTGTTATGCTTGAGCCCATTGTTGCAGCCACTGTGTCAATCCATCTCATTGAGGGTCTTCCTCTTTTTCACTGACCCTCTACTTTACCAAGCATGATGTGCTTCTCCAGGGACTGATCCCTCCTGATAATATGTCTAAAGTAAATGAAACGAAGTGTCACCATCCTTGCTTCTAAGGAGCATTCTGGCTGTACTTCTTCCAAGACAGATTTGTTCATTCTTTTGATATAGTCCATGGTATATTTAATATTCTTCACCAACATCATAATTCAAAGACATCAATTATTCTTTGGTCTTCCTTACTCATTGTCCAGCTTTTCCCATGCATATGAGGTGATTGAAAACACTGTTTCATTAGAAGTAACAAAATTGTGATATTCTAATTTTATCTTTTGTTTTTGTTTTTATTAGCCAGACTTCTTGTATAAAAGAAAAATAGTCCCTCATTAATCCTTTGATTACCCTGCAGTATAATTCATATAAACCCATTGCTGTTGAGTCGATTCTGATTCATAGCAACCCTATAGGACAAGAGTAGACCTGCTCCATGGAGCTTCCAAGGAGCACTTGATGGGTTCGAACTGCTGACCTTTTGGTTAGCAGCCATATCTCTTAACCTAGGAAATGCAAAATAGAAGCTTGATTCTTTCTAGAGGGAAACTTTCTTAGTAAACCTACAGTGAACGTAATAGTTAATGGAGAACCTTTTGATGTGTTTACTTTAATCTGGAGCATGGCAAAAATGTCCACTATTACTGCTGCTGTATTGCATATTGTTGAAGTTCAGTGCCAACACTATAAGGAAAAGAAATAAAAGATGTAAAGATTGGAAGGGAAAAGATAAAATTGTCATTCTATACAGACTATACATTCATTTACCTCTAGGTGGGGAAGAGAATCAATGAACTATTAGAGCTACCTTTACTTCATTAAGAGTACTAAAAATCAGTAGTTTTCTTTTTTTTAATCAAACTTAACCAACTAGAAAATGAGATTTTGTGTGTGTGTGTGTATGTAAAATTCAAGCAGCGAAACCTAGAAAGTACCTAGATATTAATCTACAGGAATACATATAACTCATGAAGAAAATTTTAGAACTTCAATAAAGGACATAGAAAATTATACTGGATATGATAATCTATTCTTATAAGGATGTTAGTACTCTTGAAAATTGGATATTTTTAAAGAGCACTGTGAACTTATACTAAATGATGTGTGGAAGAATAAATAAGTGTTCGTGAATAGCTTAGTGAACCTTTAAAAAAGGAGAGTAAAGGCAAACTGATCCTACCACATTTTAAGATGTTCTGTATGAGACTGGAAGAACAAGATGGTACCTGGCAACCACTACTGACTGGTCTGACCAGATTACAATAGATGGTCCCAGACAGAGTAGGAGAAAAATGTAGAACAGAACTCAAATTCTTAGAAAAGGCCAGACTGACTGGACCAGTTGAGACCAGAGAACTCCCTGAGACTGTTGCCCTGAGATTCTGTAAACCTTGAACCAAAACTTTCCCCTGAGATCATCTTTTAGCAAAACAACAGAATGGCACATAAAATAAAGAATGTTACTTGTACGTATGGCGCTGTACTAAAAAACCATCTATATGAAATCAAAAGGTCAACATTTAAACTAAAGCAAAGATGAAAAGTTAAGGGGGCAGGGAAACCTAGAGTACTAGAAACAGGACAACAGAACACAATTAAAGAGAATGTTGACACATTGTGAAAAATGTAACTAATCATGACTGAACACCTCATTTCCTGGAATTATAAAAATTCTCCTATTTAAGATATGATCTGTAAATGTATCTAACTGGCAGTATGATGAAAGCCAGTGAAACAACAGAGGGCAGCGCTGTCAACTCATCCACGTGTGGAACTCTCACTTTCCCCCTCAGGATACCTCATGGACCGTATGTGTTATGTGACCGTTGGACATATGGACCCAGTGAGGCCATCCATGTCAATCTGTATATTGAATGCTTAAATTCCCATTTAAATTAAAATTTAAACCTATTTTTAATTTAAAATTTAAGAATAAATTTTCAAACATAATTTAAACATTTAAGTTCTTCATTGCTTTGAAGACCCTTGATCTAAAATACCTACTTGGAGGAAGTTATTTGAAGTCTTGAGATACAGCTTAAGCAGTTATGCAGATTTTGAATCTATTCCATATACATGTGTATGTTTTGATGTAAAATATGATTTCCCCAGATTTTTGAGAAAAACTATCATTCTATAATTAAAAAAAAAAACAGTATGCCATGCCTTTAAAGACTCCCTAGCACATGTCCAGTAGGAGAAGCACAGTCTTAAGCTGATTTCATTGATCAAAGATCTGAAAGATCTTTGAGAATGATTATTTCTTCTATTATAACAGTAAGAAACTTCACTATTCTGGCCGTTCTAGGATGGGTTCCAATTTGAAGCTATTCTGTTGTGAAATATACAGTTACTTTATGAGACTCTGATTTTTTTTATTTTTCCTTTAACTTTACAGAGACTGTGCAGTTGATCCAACTTGTGTTTTATGCATGGAGTGCTTTTTGGGAAGTGTTCACAGAGATCATCGATATAGGGTTAGTAATGTCAAGATAATAACCATACTGAGTATTGAATTTTATATGAGATACCTTTTCTTCCTTTTTAAAACCCAAAGATTTAATATGAAAAAGGAGAGGGAACGTGGTTTGAGCAATGTGATATTAAATACCATTAAACATATGATAGCAGTGTAGAAGTGAATTATGAATCCAGTCTTCTTGGGACACATGTCTTCCAGAATGACAGTGTAGGTATCAGCTCTTCCGTATTGGTTTTCAACTAGTTTGTTTTTGTTTTGCTGTTTTTTGTGTTTACCAGTTTTGTAATTCTAGGTTTATGAAGAGGATTATCAAAAGTTAGAGGATAAAAGTAAAAGTTACAGAGTGTGAGAGTGAGGTTCTGAAGGGAGGATGTGTGAGAAAAAGAATAAGCAAAAGTGATGTAATTATACATTTAAGAAGTAGTATATCTGTTGGTCATCTTTTACAGAAGATTTGTCATTTCTTAATATTAAAGAGGCGTCTACTACAGTGCAGGAGAGGGTCCAACTCCAGAGCACAAGACCCACCAGTGTTGTTATTCTTCCACTGCTGTAATGCAGTCACAGGTTTCAAAAACCAGATTTGCCTTTAAGTTGGGGATACAGATAAAGGCGGATTACTCCTAAGTTCCTGTACTGGAAATTGAAGACAGAGCCATGAAGATTTAGAGGTTAGAGAACTTATGTTAGATGGAACTTTTCACCCTGTTCTCAGATGAAAAGGTGTAGAAGGAATGTATCATTCTTGTTCTTAATGAACAAAAACTCTGCTGGGTTCAGGACTTTTCCTCCTTTTTGTTTTTACTTTACCTATGTGTTGATAATAATGAACTAAAACAACTACAAAATTAGGTTCCTTATTTTCTTGTATGTTCTCTTTGTTCTCAAATCAGCAAGAGAACCTAGTCTCCTTTAACCTGCTGTACCTGTGTTTGGTAACAGAAACAAGCGTATAAACTGTAGGGTTGGGTTTTCATTTTTGAAATGGCTGCCTGCCCATGTTTCCTGGCATATGTATTTGCAGCCTTTGGGAATAACTGTAGTTTGTGGAGGTTACATTCGTTGTATTGTGATATGTAATACACAAATTCTTCCTTTGGAGAGAATTAGGTAGGACTCATTTCTAAAAATTGCTACATCTCGTAATTATTCCAAAGCTCTTCCTCACAGTATTTTAAGAAAAGCAGAATTTCCGATCTACTAATTATTAATAGGTTCTATGTTACTAGATTTCCTTGAAGCACTGCCATACCTTAAGGAAGTATGAGTAATTATTGAACCACACGAGTGGTGAAAAGTTTTTTTTTTTTGACCAGGCAGTCCACTTTTCTATTTCCTGACCCTCTATTGCCTGACCTTTCAAGGAGTGGTGATTTAGAGAGTTTTAGAGAAGAAAAGTAAACATCTGTAGTCTTTGTTGCTAACTTTGTCTAAGATCTCTAAGTCTTCCAGGAGACAGAAGCTATAGGAATCTTTATACCCTTGAATCTGTTATACTGCATTATAGCACCACAATCTCTTAGCATAGATTACCAACATTATACCAATTTAGCCAGAACCCAGCAGGAAAAACCCTCATGGTCCTTGTGATTTTCCTAATTAAGGAAATCATGTACATGGACATATTCTACTTCTTTACAATATCTGTAGTTTACTAGACACTACAAAGTAGCTTATTTTATTTTGAAATCACTTAGATTAGCTTTTAGGCTTGTTTAAAAGATTGAAAGATTCAATATTTAATGAAGGTAAGTATCCCTCCAGAGAAATTAAACACCTAAGCAGTGTTACTTTCTTAGCACTTGATATCCTTATTTATACTCTGATAGACCTCAGTAAATACTTATTGACAAGATACTTTACACTTTTTTTTCAAGATGACAACTTCAGGAGGTGGAGGTTTCTGTGACTGTGGTGATACTGAAGCTTGGAAAGAGGGTCCTTACTGTCAAAAACATGAACTTAACACCTCTGAAATTAAGGAAGAGGAGGTAAAAACATTTTTACCAAGTTATTTTGAAGGAAATATTGTTTTAACCATGAGTTTGAAATATTTTCAGACATAAGAATTAGGTTATAATATGAAAAATGGATAAGCAAAATAATCTCATCACTATTAACAGTGGCTGAAGGTACTTGGAAAATTCTTTGCATTTTTTTGGGGGGGGATGCTGTACTATTGCTAGTAGTATACGCTTGAAATTCTGCAAATTTAGTTTAAATTTGTTTTTTGAATCTTAATTTGGTTAGGTCTTTTTGTTTGTTTTGACATTTTGTTTTGTTTTAAGCATATATGAGGTTTTTTTAAAGTCCTAATTTATTATTGAAGGAATTTTTTTTTTATATGTGTAGACCAGTTAACTTAGTTGGTTTTTGTATATTTGTGTTGTAATTAAGGCTTTGTAGGCCAGATAGATTTCTTTTCTGTGGCCATACATGGCAGCCAATCCTAACCATCATCTCCTGGTAAATCAGTGCCATTGGATATGTGATGGGACCAAGCGTAGAGATGATAGTTTAGTACAGATTATATCCACTCCACCTGTAAATATGTGCTTTTTGTTTTTTGTATTGGTCCTGCTTTTTTTTCTTTTTTCCTAAATGATATTTGTAATGACCTAGTGAACTCTCTTCTTAATGTTTCAATCTCTGCTGCTGTTTGCAACAATTTGATGTTTGGCTTAAGATCCTTATTTTAGATTTTATTATTATTATTTTTTTTTTATTGTGTTGTGCTTTAGGTGAAAGTTTACAGCTCAATTTAATTTCTCATTCAAAAATCTGTACACATATTGTTTTGTGACATTAGTTGCAATCTAAATTTTATTATTTTTAAACAGCAGAGAGGTGAGTACATTTAAAGTACTTTTGCACTGTTAGTAGGCCTAATATCATTTTGGGGCAAGTCCTTCCTGATGCACATGCCTTACAGGTCTCAAGTATTTTAATGGAATGACCAAGACAGTGTGGTGTAGAACAGTGTCTTTTAAACGGTGTTTCACAGAAACCTGAGACTTTGTGCAAGTGTCCTAGAATTTGCCATAGGGCGTTGCCAAGTGGTGAGAGCTCCAGGATTTCTTCACTTGAGTTGGACCGGCTCCATTTTTATCTGTTTTTTATATTGGATTGGAGATCTGTATGTAAAAATACAAACAAAGCTAACAAAGACATATTTTTTAAAAAGGAATTCTACTCTAACAAAAGATTAAAACCACTTTAGGACTTCTATTACCTTTTTGTCCTTGTGTTAGAATAGACTTAAAATAGTTTTCTAAGAAAAAAATTTGGATCTGCAGTTTTTCTGTTGACTTATTCTTGTACATTAATGGAGTGGCTATCAAATACTGTATTCTCTGGTTAATTTCCTGAATTTTAAGTACATGCCAGCCAGATCACCTGCCTGGCTGGAATCATATGGTCTTGCCCTAGAAAATACATACTGTAGGAACTTGACAAAGAGTAAAAAGTCCAAACTCTTCCATTTAATTCCTATTTAAAAGTTCAGTAAAAAGATATGAAGCCTTCAAGGACTACTTAAAAGATAGCATACCCAGAGTCCACTCACTAAATTTATAAATATATCTAGGTTTCCTACAATTTATGCTTGAACTGAAAGAGACCTATACATTCTTTTAACGTAGGTTTTTAGCCTGTCATAAAATGCCTTTTGTTGAATATAGTTTGTTGTACATTCAGCTTGCATTTTAAGAAAAAGTTGGTAAAGTATTTTGTAGGGATAATGTTTAGGAGTTTCATGGATCTTCTCAACTCTTGGCATTTGGGATGGGACAATTCTTCATTGTCTAGGCCACACTTGGGCTAAGTATAGTCCCACAGGCCAAATCTTGTCCACTACTTGTCTTGGGCTGGCTGGTGAGCTAAGAATGGTTTTTATATTTTTAAATAATTGAAAAACTTCAGAAGAATAGTATTTGGTGATGTGGAAATTCTATAAAATTCACATTTTGGTGCCCATAAAGTTCTGTTGGAAGTCTTTATATATTGTCTATAGCTGCTTTCCCACTGCAGTAGCAGGATTGAGTGGTTACCACAGAGTGCCTGCAGGCTGCAAAGACTAAAATGCTTACTCTCTGACCCTTTACAGAAAAAGTTTACCAACCCCTGGTATAGACTGTCAGAAGCGTTGTGTTTAGCGTACCTGGTTCCCACTCACTAAATGCCAGAAGCATCTCCCACCACTGTGACAATAGAAAATACCTAACCAGATTTCCAGATGGCCCCTTGGGCATGGGAATGAGCAGAGTGCATGGGTACGAAGATATCTCTCCTAATTCAGAACCACAATATAATATGTAATAGTGTCTCCTTTGTTGATCTTCATAAAAGTCCATAAGAAATTTTTCATAGGGTCTCTGTACTAAGAAACGTGATGTTTTTCTTGGTATGAGTCTGACAATTGATTGTGTTTCCTTTTGTTGAGGCTTCTGGGAAACACAGAGCCAAGTGTTTGGCCAGTCTATACTATACAGCTACGTGGACATTTATATGATTTACATTATACATAGATGTTATCTAGACTTATTTTCTTATCTTTATTTTCCCTTTACCTACTTTGTATATCTCTTTTTTTGTTTTGAATACTTTTTTATTACATTGGATGTATCACTTAAATTGCTACAAATCCTTTTTAGAATGATATTTCGTTAAGTAAAAAATATTAACTGAATGAACAACCTTCATGAAGATTTTGATAATCTGAAGTGTTCCCCTGTCAATGCTGCTCCTATCTCATTTGAATGTAGATTAGTGATTATTATTAGCTAAAACTTATGTCAAGTACTTTATTTGATTTGTCTCATTTAATTCTCAAAACAACCCTATAAGATAGATACTCTTATTACTAGTATTTTATAAATGCAGAAGATTGAGTTTCAGAGAGATCTGAAACTTGCCCAAAGCCTTCCGCATAGTAAGTGCTGGAGCTGGGGTTTAAACCTAAGTAGAACAACAACAAAGTCTAGACTTCAGAAATGGAACTTTTAATAGTAAATTATAATTTTTTTTTAAAGCATTTTTAGCAGTGGAATTGCTTGTTTTTGTTTTTTATTTTCAAATAAAATTCTAATACAAATTCCAGTAATAAAACATAAAAGTGGTATTACTAATAGGTTTATTTTTTATAAGTTAAATAGTATATTATCTACTTGGTCAATTCATAAGATGAATTAATAACTTCATTAAATTAAATTATTTAATTAAATCTCTTTCTAAAAAGGATTTGCAGCGACTTAGCAATACATCCAATGTAATAAAAAAGTATTCAAAACAAGAAAAGAGATGTACAAAGTAGGTGAATGGAAAATAAAGGTAAGAAAATAAGTCAAGATAACATCTGTTTATAATGTAGATCATACAAATGTCCATATAGCTGTATAGTATAGTATAGACTAGCCAAACGTTTGGCTCTGTGTTTTGATAACTTTTCTTAGTGTCCTGGAGCTGTCTTAATAAAATACCACAAAATGAGTGGCCTTAAAGAACAGAAATTTTCTCACAGTTCTGGAGACTAGAAGTCCAAATCAAGGTTTCAAGCCTTGTTGATTCCTTCTGGGAACTTTGAGAAAGGAACCAACTGTTCCATGCCTCCTAGTTTCTGGTGGCTGCCTGCAATCCTTGACGTTCCTTTGCTTGTAGGTCCTCACAAGCTGTCTTTCCCTTGTATGTGACTCTGTTTCCATGTCTGTCCATTTCTTTTAGAAGATGCCGCTCAAAAGGGTTAGGATGAGGACCCACCCTACTCCAGTATGACTTCATTAACTGATAACATCTGCAAAGGAAAACTATTTCTCCAAACAAGGTCACATTAACCAGTACAGGGGGTTAGGACTTCAACATATCTTTCTGGGGAACATGTTTCAATCCATACAATGACTGTTAAGCCTTTAGTTTATTTCTGTATTTTGTTTTAGTTGGGCAATAAAGAGAAAATCCTCATTCACACCTTATTTGCATATGACAGCATTTAAAGTCTTTACTGTACTACATGTTTATATGTAAAAATGCAAACATTACAGAAGTGTATCATATACAAGATTGACGTTCTCCGTAACTCCCATTGCCCTCTAAGATAACCGCTGATGAACTTTTTAGCCTCTTTCTAGCTTGAAGGAAGAGTAAATCAAAGTTGACTCACCTAAAAGTGCTTGCATTCTCTAACATAAATATAATCAAAGAACTAAAATTATTAGTAATAATTGATAATACAACATAGGATAAGGTGATAATGTATTTACTTGTCACAACTGACTTATGCTGTGACAATAGCACTTTGAGTACAAGTGCCTCAGTATTTCCTGGCATTTAATGTACTATGGTACATCTGAGCAGACTTGCACAGGCCTACCATCTCTTAACTGCAGAAATAATTCTTTCTTAATCAGTGACATATTTTTCAAGAAGTTAAATGTACATACAAAGATAGCAAGAGAATGTGCATTCCTAGGCCTGCCCCAAAGTGGGTTAATCTAGCTGCAAAATTCCCCACTGGTGATTCCCAGTATGTAACATAATGCAATTTAGAGTATATTTTTCTACTACAGTTTTTTAATATAGATTATTATATATTTTTTAACTGACATGTAAATCAAATAGGAAGCACCTCTACCAGACCCTGGGATTTTGTAGAATAAAGTTTAAAAACTGCTGGTTTGGATTTTCAGTAATTAGCTGATGTTTCTGACTTAGGATCATTTGATTCTTATGAATTCTGTTTATCGTAATTCTTCATTCTCTAAATGTTTTATATTATGGAATGTAATTGTAAGAAATGGAATGACTAAATAAATGAGACAGTATAACAATAAAAACTCAAGAAAGCTGAGTTTTGGTTTTACTTTCTATTCTGGTGTAGTGTGAGTTTCATGTTGTATTGTGCCCGCTCTTTTGTGAATGCCCAGGAGGTACCAGTTCTAGTTCCTTCTGTACACAGGTGGTTTTGTTATGATAACAACATCTAGCACCTCTGTAAGAAATAATAATAAACCTTGCTAATAGAAAGAAAATACTTGATGGGACATACAAAGCAGCCTATATGGGAAGAGTCATAAGTAAAAGATGCTGTGAGAACTTGGAAACGCTTTTTCTTACTGGGAAACGTAGATTTACTGTCTCCAACCTCTGGACCCATCTTGTTTAGGAATCTTTGTCCTTTTTCCTCCATTCTTTTTTATTTTCACCTTCTCCATTTGTTTTACTGCAGTCTGCCAGGCTTGTCTTGGGTGTATGTGTTCAAAAATATTCTGCATCCTTATATGTGTACATTTGCAAAAAATTTGCCGATTCCATTCCATGGTGTTAATTTTCTTATTTGAAAAAATGAATACAACCCTGTTTAGCCGTCAAGCTAAGTAAGCAAAGTGTTAAGACTTGAGGTAAAGTGTTACAATTAAAGATTGTGTAAAACATTTTGTCAACCTTAACTGAAAGATACCATGATAAACTTAGTGTAAAAAACTAAGTTTTTTTTTTTACATTAATCTAGAAATGTAGTGGATTCTTCACTGTTAAGTCTGATGTGTGATGGTCTACTGTTAACATGCATTCATGTCTCTTACCTGCTGAGAGAAAGTAGACAAGTGAGTGATTCTTACAAGATTAAGGGGAAGTTTTCTGACCTGGTTGAGTTCTTACCTGCAGAATCCCCGAAATTAGGCTCTCCGTTATAAAGAAAACCAAATACCGCTTGTCTGTCTTTAGATAACATCTGTTTATTATGAGAAGCTAGGTGTTAGTAGTATATGAAGCTGTAAAGATGGTTTTATGTTAGGTCTTAGAGCTGCTAGAATGCAATTTTAGATTTATTCATTAGGCATTGGAATATCATTTAATATTTTGATTCATTAATTCAATAACTGGGATTACTCTGAGCAGAATGTTTTAGGAAGCTTGATTTGGTAGGAAGTGACGTATGGGATCTATTTGAATGTAGAGAAGCAGGGAGCTGGAAGACCAGTCAGCATTTTACAATAGTCATTTGAGGAGTGGAAGTAGAATGAGAAAGAGGAAAATTAACATGCATTTAACATGGTTGCTTCCCCCCCCCCCCCCCCCCCCGCTCTTTCTTTCAGGATCCTCTTGTGCATTTATCAGAAGACATGATAGCAAGAACTTACAATATTTTTGCTATTATGTTTCGGTATGCAGTAGAGATATTAACCTGGGAAAAAGAAGGTGAATTGCCAGCAGATTTAGAGATGACGTAAGTATAACCTATTTATTCTTTTTATGTGAGGAATTACTAAATTTTAATATAGCTAGCTAGAGTAGGACATAATCTTACTTTAAAAATTAGTGTCCAGCAGAGGAATAAGCTTGATTTTATAGTTTTCAAATATGTGTGATCCACTTAACTGGTGGAGGTTTCTCTCTTTTGGTTGGTTGGTTTGTAGCCATGTTTAAACCACATCAAGGCTCTACCACTGGATTCAGGCATATTTAGTTTTCTATTCTTTGATTGTGTCATAAAATTGATTAGTTAACCCTGTGACCTGCTCTCGTGATTATTCTTTGTTTCACTTACCAGATATCATTAGACAATGAGTTCTTTAATATAAGTGAGTTTTCTCCTTCGAATAAATGCTCAAACTTAATTTTAACCATTTTCATTCTAAATCTTTATAAAATTTATTCTGCACTTCGTGCATTTTAGAGTATATTTAACATTTTTACTCAGATTATTATGGGAGTTGCATATTTGTAACCAGAAAGTAGGATTCTGCCATAGCTGTATTTTGCTTTGTTTTAATTTGAGATGTTGCCAACATTAAAACTAGAAGATTTAATATAAAAATTTGTTTTCCATCTTATCTGGAAACAATGAGATCTGGTAACCCTGGCCACCATCGGTGGACTGGTTGCTGTCCCCTTAGAAGGAAATGTACGCTCCCTTTGACCAGCATCTACCCAACCTCTTCATTCAGTTATGTTACCTGTCTGGCCCAATAGGCATTTGAATTTGAGGCCATTGAAGAATGTTTGCCATACATTAACTCATCCCAACCAGGTATATTTTTTGAGTTCTTGTGTCGGCTTTTATCAGAGGAATTTGTTTCTCTGTGTTCTTTGTTAAATTTGAGTTTGAGGGCTCACTTTCTTTTTTTTTTCTTTTAGTGTACTTGCCTCAAACAGCCTTTCCTTTTACTTTCAATTCTAACCAAGCTTCTTAGCATTGTCCTCATAGTTATGATGAATACAAGCTGGAGGTAGGGCCTGCAGGACATTTGGTGTGTTTCTTTTTTGCTTTCTCAACTATGTTGCAGATAGTTGAGGTTGCGGGTTAAATGTTTTTTAGTTAAGTGAGGTTTTACTATACTCTGTCTCTTTGGAAATGTCAGAAATGACTTAGTGCCTCATGACTTTATCTTCGCATACTTCAGGTTGGGAACCATTGATCTAAGATCTAAATTTAGACCCTAGCGAATGCAGTAGTTTTGTTTTTCATTCCATTGTAGGTTCAGAGCCGCCAGCATGGAAGGGAAAAAGAATCTAACTTGCTTCTTTTATAATGTAAATGGTGTTCCGTCTATCCAGAAACATGACTTACCTATGTTCCTTTAGATGCCACGTCCAGCTGGTTCTCCCTGCTAACAACCTATCAAATCTTTGTACTTCTGTTCATCTCCATTACTACTACCTTAGATGCCTGAATTTCATGCTTGAACAGCATGGTCTCCTAACTGGGCTCCCATATCCACTTCTGATTCATTCTTCACTCCATAGCAAAAGTGAGCTTTAAGGCAAATCTGATCATATCTCCTATTTCAAAGCCTTGATTGCCCTTGTTGTTGCTGTGTGCTGTCAATTCAATACTGACTCACAGTGACCCCATAGCCCAGAGTAGTACTGTCCCATAGGGTTTCCTAGGCTGTAATCTTTACAGGAGCAGATCACCAGGCCTTTTCTCCTGCAGAGCAGCTGGTGGGTTCAAAACACCAACCTTTCAGTAACAATGGAGAGCTTTAACCATTGGGCCACTAGGGCTGCTTTGATTGTCCTTGGATAACAAAAGCCAAAATCCATTTTAAGGTCTTCAAGATTTCTGCCTGTCTCTCCAGACTAATACTAATCTCTTTCTTCCTCTTTGTGCTCCAGCTCCCAATATTTACCTAATCTACCTCCAGCCTTTGGTTTCACCTTCCTCCAGCCCAGGGTTTCTCAACCTTGACATTATTGGTAATTTTGGCCAGATTACGTCTTTGTTTTGGGGGCTTTCTGGTGCACTGTAGGATGTTTAGCAGCATCCCTGGCCTACTAAACCTGCTAGATGCCAGTAGCAATCCAGTCATAACTGTCAAAAATGTCTCTAGACATTGCCATATGGTCCCCTGGGAGGACCATATCATCCTTGGTTGAGAACCACTGATAGCCACTTCTGACTTTAGATCTCGGATTACTTTTCCAGCAATTCTTTTCTGAATTCTCGGACCTGTTAAATACCCTGCTCTAGCACCCTGCCCTTGATAAAAGCCAGTACACATAGAATTAGATGTTCAATATCTGTCTTCCCCACTGGACCGCAGTGTGAGAGCACAGGCACCATGGATGACTTCTTTACACATTTGTGACCAGTACGTAAGCACATTCCCTATAACAAAGTATGCTCTTAATAATCAGCCTGGAGCAAGATAATATACAAATAGAAAATCCAGTATATAATGTATGTTTTATCCCACAGAGACAAGAGTGACACCTACTATTGTATGCTGTTTAATGATGAGGTGCACACCTACGAACAAGTTATTTATACTCTTCAGAAAGCTGTTAACTGTACACAAAAAGAAGCCATTGGCTTTGCAACTACAGTAGATCGAGATGTAAGTAATTTCATCATATTATATTATATAATAAATTGAACTTTTACTAATGATACGTTATCTCAGAAAATTGAGTTAGCGGGTATATATAGTTAGGCTTTTTTTAAATTCCATGTAAACATTGGCCCAGGTATATATCGGGTATAAAACTCGTTGCCGTCAAGTCAATTCGGACTCATAGTGACCCTATAGGACAGAGTAGAACTGCCCCATAGGGTTTCCAAGGAGTGGCTAGTGGATTTGAACTGCCAACGTTTTGGTTAGCAGCTGACCTCTTAACTGCTTTAAGTTATTGCCAGATAGAAAGGTTAAAGGGGAAAAGTAGATACAGTTGCCCTCATTCTAGCCAGTGATTAAAAATTTTCAGTTAGGAAAATGGAAATTATAGCATCCTAGAATAAATGTTTTGATATTCAAGGAAATTTACATATTAATGGCTTGAAAGCGTTAGGATAGCTTTGAAGGAAAATAATTTACTTTTCATTGAGGAATATGATGAACATTGCAAATATTAAAATTGACCAGAGTTGTTATATATTCAAGTTTGTTTGTTGGTTTACTAGTTTAAAACTTCTGAAAATTGAATATAATATTTTTGCAAATTGATTTTAAATATCTTTATTTATAGGGACGTAGATCTGTTCGATACGGAGACTTCCAGTATTGTGAACAAGCAAAATCAGTGATTGTTGTAAGTAATTTTAAAACATGACTCCATTATTATTTCTTACTGGTTTAAAACTATTTCCATATTTTGACATTTATGAAAACCCATTTTTCTGGATAGTTATACTAGTGAAACAGAATAAAGAGTCCAGAAATAGATACTAGTATAATCTAGAAAATCTAGGAGGCTACAGATACAGCCTAAGGGAGGACGAGAACTTCTTAGTCAAGACTAGACCCCCCAGAAGTTAGGGAAAAAACGTTACGTTTTTTTGGCTATGTAAAAAATTTGCACAGTAAAATATTCCTTAAGCAAAGTCAGTAGACAAATAGAAGATTTGGAAAAACTATTTCTAGCACAGAGGATAGACAGTTAATACTTATAATAAAGAGAATGCTCTTATAGATTACCATTCAGGGAACAAGCAACAAAATAGAAAAATGAACAAAGAATTTGAAAAGGCAGATCACAGCAGAGAAAATCCAAGTGGCTAGTATACATGAAAAGAGGCTCAAACTCACTCATAATAAAATAACAAAGAGATTTCACATCCATCAGGATGACAAAATTAGAGTGATAAAATACCTTGCTGACAGAGATGCAGAGAATAGGAATATTAGTATAAAAACAAATTGTTAACAATATTTTTGGAAAGCAGTCTGGTAACATTTATTAAAGCTTTACCTCTCCTAGGAATTTATCCCATAGAAACACAAGCACCAGTAAGTATACGTACAAAGATGTTCAGTAATGCTTTTTTGTAGTCACAGAATACTGGAAACAAAATAAATATGAATGACCTTCTCTAGAGGATGTTTGAATAAATCCATACTACGGATTATGTAGTCATTAACAAAAAAATCAGTTAAAACTGTACAGCCTGATTTGAGTATGTTTATGCTGAGAAAAGCAGGATGCACAGAAATATATGTACAGTATCCCATTCTTATAAACCAAACTAACAACAAAAAAAATCTTTATAACTGTATATATAATCTATATACATGGAGAAAATATGTACCGAGTTAACATGGGTTATGGAGATGGAATGAAGCAGGGTGTCTAGAGAGGATCCAAGCAAGAAGTAGAACGGGGAAAATCATGTTAAAAGTATTGATAACATGATTACATGAGGTTAATTATTTAAATAAGTGTGTAGTTGCATTAAGGAATTAAAGACATAAGGCATTTTTACAAATCTATAATCAGTATAGCAGATTTTCAAATACAGGACTGAAGATTTAGGTTACTCATAAGCTATGACTTCTTACCTTTTTTTTAAGATTCTTCAGAAATAGTTACAGCCTTTGAGTCTGAAACAAGTAAGGCAAGCTATATGGTGTTCTTCTTACATGCTTACATGAAAAACCCTCCAGTGTTGATGATCGTGTGGATATATTAAATAAAAATATTAACTTTTTTCTGCCAATAAAGTAGACTCTTTAAGTTTTTTTTTCATCTTGCCATTTCTTTTTAAGAGAAATACCAGTCGACAGACAAAGCCACTCAAAGTTCAAGTTATGCATTCGTCTATTGTTGCACATCAGAATTTTGGTTTGAAGCTTTTGTCTTGGCTGGGAAATATTATTGGATATTCAGGTAGGTTTATGTTGTTAATAGTTAAAAATGAGCTCATATGCCCTTGCAAAACTTTCAAAAAAATAAATCAAGTGAAATAATTTCTTGCTTTAATTTTACATTTTATAATGCCATTTTGGAATATCTTTGTGCACAAAGAATTCTGTGTCCCAAATTTTGTCCCATAGGATGTTTTACATGCATACAAAGAATTCTGTGGTCAGATAAATGCAGGAAACACTGGGTTAAACAATAATAATTAGATTTTTTTTTGGTGCTTTAGGTGAAAGTTTACAGCTCAAGTTAATTTCTCATTCAAAAATTTATGCACATATTGTTTTGTGACACTGGTTGTAATCCCCACAATATGACAGCATGCTCCCCCTTCCCACCCTGAGTTCCCTGTGTCCATTCGACCAATTCCTGTCCCTTCTTGCCTTCTCGTCCTGCCTTTGGACAGGAGCTGCCTGTTTGAGCTGGTATGTTTGATTTAACCAAGATACATGTTCCTCACATGTATTCATTTTTTGTTCTATATGCCTATTTAATCATTGTCTGACAGGTGGGGTTCAGAACTGATTTTAGTTCTGGGTTAGCAGAGTGTCCAGGGCCCATAGTTTCGAGGGTTCCTCCAGACTCTGTCAGACCATAAGTCTGGTCTTTATATGTGAGTTTGAGTTCTGTTCTACATTTTTCTCTTGCTCTATCCGAGACTCTCTTTTATGTACTCTGTCAGGGCAGTCATTGGTGGTAGCCAGGCACCATCTAGTTCTTCTGGTCTCATGCTAGTGAAGTCTCTGGTTCATGTGGTCCTTTAGTCCTCTGGGCTAGTATTTTCCTTGTGTCAAGTTTTCATCATGCTCCTTTGTTCTGGGTGGGATGGGACCAATGGAAGTAATAAGACTTTAATATGATAGTGCAATGTAAATCTCACAAACTCAATGAAAGAAATCCAGTACCCCCTTTTTTTAATGGAACATCCTGTAGAACTAGTGTTTCACTGACTAAACTGGAAAATGCCACTGTAAATAAAACCTAAGTGATTCCTGGTTAGCAATTTAAAAATTAAAACTCTTATGTTGATAACATTGTTTTAACTCCTACAGGTTTTGGTTACCAGAAATCTTACTGATGTATATTTGGTTTTATATTTTGTTTTTCCATAGTCTACAAATTAATCTTCTTCATGTAATGGTAACAATTAAGAACCCTCATGTCCAAAGCTATAGGTTCAAGTTTGGTTTATAACTTTAAGGGTAAAATAGGGATAGATCTAAGCTGTCTCTCATACTGTTCTTTGGGCAAGAGAGATGATATGGATAAATGACATTCTGATGTTTACTATAAAGAATATTCCTAACACATTTGTATGAAAAAGCTGTTAGAGCATTGCCACACTGAACGGACAGGTGAAGAAAGAAGATACGGAGTTGTGGAAATTTAGAGGAACATATTTGCTGGCCTTTCAAATGTCCTTACAATTATTTTTCTGGCCCCATTTTGTTAAATTTTAGTGTTTTCCATTAAACATCTGTATGTCAAATACTGTGCTACAGTGTTAAGAAATAGTATCAGTAAAGCAGTTTTCTGCTGAAATATTTCTTTGGAATGTTTATCACTAGTAATTTAGAGAACTTAGCATCTATTATTTGGTGTTTATGTAAGATTTTCTCTTTAGCCTCTTAACTGATTTCTGTTTGCTGACATTTATAATTAAAGTTACTCTTTTTTTTTTTTGATTACTTTGCATGCTTGAAGAAGACTAAAAAAAGTAATTTAAATTATAAAATATGAAACAAAATTATTAAAGTTTTGGTTATTTTAATGCTTACATTAACATTTGAAGAACTTTTTATAAGTTTAGCATTTAGATGTAGGAACTTGTCTTCTAGGGCCTCTGGTGGATGTTAGATGCTCAGTGAATTTTTGTTTAATTGATGAAGAACATTTTGTATAACATTAATAAAATGCAGTGATAAATATCATAATATAGAGGTCATACATTCTTTTTAAATTTTAGTACAATTTTATGTTACACCTACCTTCTGTCATCCTGGGGTGTATAACAGTTTTACTGTAATACAGTTGTATTAGCATAACTGCTTAAAGGATGATACTTATTTCAGTGGTCCCTCTTTAATTAAGTTCTTTAAAGCATAAGAGATTATTGCCTTTCTGATAGGCGTGTATTTGGCATTCTGGAACAGGTGTTGGTGTGTAACACAGGCTTTGAAATTTGTTCCTTTTTGTGACATTATCAGTAAATACTTAATATTTGTTTACTTTTTCTGAATGAATTTGACCTATAATAAAACATACAGAACTCTACAGATCCATTTGAACATTTCTACTAAAATGCCACTTTATTTAATATATGAAATTGCAACTTCATGACTCTTTTCTTTCTAAGATGGCCTTCGCCGGATTTTATGCCAAGTTGGTTTACAAGAAGGGCCAGATGGTGAAAACTATTCTCTTGTGGATAGATTAATGCTTAGCGATTCCAAATTGTGGAAAGGTAAATCTCTTAAGTACTCTTAAGATACAGAGAAAGCTATTTAGGTAATTGTGATGTAAAAAGTTTGTTTTTTTGTTTTGTTATGTTTTCCCCGTTTGCGAAGATATTTATTTATGCTTTGAAAGATCAGCGTATGTAGTCTTAATCTCTGGGGAGAAAAACAGATTTTTGGGGTCTGTGAAATTAAATAATGTTTAAAAGCAAGAAATGTGACAAAATAGGAATGTATTTAGTGTTTTTCTATATTTATATAGAATATTTTGTTAGAAAATTATACTTTTGGGGCTGGGAGTTGGAAATGGAGAGTGATTACTTAATGGCTATGAAGTGTTCAGGGTTGGAGATGGAAAAATTTTGAAACTAGAGAGACGTGGTGGTTGCACAGCATTGTTAAGGCACTAAGTGCCACTGAATTGTACACTTTAAAATGGTTGATTGTATGTTATGTGAACTCTACATCAATTTAAAAAGAAGGGATGGAGGAATCTTTCACCACAAATAGTTTGAGAAGCACTGCCCTAGGAAATGGCAGCCCCATGTAGAAGGAACCTATATCCCTAAATGACTGCATAGAGCAGAGTGACCTGGTAGCTTGGAGCATTCCTCTTGAACTGTTACATGAATAAGAAATAGACTTTGTTTTTTAGAAAGAAAAAAATATATACGCGTGAAGAGTTTTGCTCTTGAGACTTAAAATATAATTGACCAAATAAAAATTTTGGAAATGTAATGTTTGGCTTGTTTGGTGTACCCTTATCTTATATCCTGATCTTTTTCCTAACAGGTGCTAGGAGTGTGTATCATCAATTGTTCATGAGCAGTCTGCTTATGGATTTGAAATACAAGAAACTGTTTGCTATTCGGTTTGCAAAAGTAAGTAGTTTCTCAGTTTTAAAGATTAACAAAATAGGTTATATGAAGAGTAACTGTAACCCATGATTATATCTGGGCTTCATAAAATTAGGAACTAATATTAATGTGTTTTGATTCTATGAAACTTCAGAAATGACCTTTTTATCTTTTATCAGTAGAATGAAATTTTAGCAAAGTGAGACTTCTTTGCTCATTGCCTCTCATGATAACAAGAATGTTCATTTATGCAGTGTACCTTTATCTTTGTTTAGTTTAGAAGGTGATATGAAATGATAAATGAAGAACATAGACCTATACTATTGTGAAATCTATACTATTGTTCCTATTTAAAAAAAAGACGGTCTTAGTTTAAATGGCATTTATATAGAGATTCTGATTTAGGAATCACGAACTCTATGTTGTTAATATAATTGAATTATGTTCTGCTAACCACTTATTTTGTATTTGCCTGGATTAGAGATTTTTTAACCAGGGAAACGTAAAAGCCATTTGAGGATCTCTTTCTGATATGCATCCAAAGTAATGAGAGTCTCGTTTCATCAGAGACAATGCAACACTGTTGTGGTTTAGCCCCACCAGTGTACAGTGACATCCCAGATTTTTAGTAGCTGTTACTTCTTGTTTTGGCTCATAAACTGCCATTGTGCTCCATTAGAGTATATTAACTACAGTGAATCAATATTTATACAGGGTTTAACTTTTAGGAATCAGTTCCCCCTCTCATAGCAGTGTTATCTTACTTCCTTCAGCACTGACTTTTCATTATAATCCTTAAACATTTGGTCAATGTGGATTAGAGGTGAATCTCCCCCTTGTTGTTTAGAATTACCAGCAGTTGCAGAGAGATTTTATGGAGGATGATCACGAGCGAGCAGTGTCGGTGACTGCTCTGTCTGTCCAGTTCTTCACTGCACCTACTCTGGTGAGTAGTGCTTGCCTTTTCTTTGTAACTGATAGCTGGCACTCCCTGCCTTTTTTTGCCTTCTTAATAGAACTATGAGCGTTTGCAGTGTGATTATGTGACAGATGACCACGACAGAGAGTTTTCAATCGCAGACCTCTCGGTTCAGATATTCACGGTTCCTTCACTTGTAAGTACTGAAAGACTTAAGAAGAACTTTGTTTTCTGTTAACAGAAGTAAAGCCTTAAAATAATAGAGATCTATGATCTGTATATTTCTGAATAGAATATTTCATTAATGAGCAATCAAATCAGACACCTTCAGCCATACTAAAACATATCTTTGAATATCAAAATAATCTTGGGGGAGAGAAGCCATTTAAAAACAAAAAACTGAACAACTTCCTGCTATTAAAAGTACTATTAAAAAACTCTTAATCCTTTCTTTATCATAGTCCTTCCCTGAGGTTTTGAACTGATGAGAATGAATTAAAAATTAAGTCGATTGGTTTAACAAATGTAATCCAGGATATTAGAATCAGACAGCATACTGTGTACCATCTAACATTTTGAGAAAGCTCCTTGGTAAGGAGGGAGGTAGCTAAGGCAGTTGAATCAGGATGATTGAGTAGTCTTTTACTAAGCTTCACTGGTAGCTTCTGAAGACATCACCAAGTTTTAGCACTATACAGTAATTAAAATTCATATTTAATTCACTCAACAAATACTTAGTGCCTGTTTTTTATTGGGCACAGTTCTAGGCTTTGGGAATGCAATGGTGAACAAAAACAGACATGGTCCCTGCCCTCTTGGAACTTAAAATAGTGGGAAAGACTCACACATATAGTTAATTAAAATTATAATTAAAACTGAAGAATTAGGGTGTTTTGAAAGAGAATAATAGGGAAATCTGGCCTTTTCACAGTTTAGAGATGGTTTCCCTAAGAAGGGTATCTTTATGCTGGAGAGGGGAGGGTGGTCATGTTGAGTGACCAGCACTTGAGAAATCCTGAAGTAGGGAGGAGCATTACCTATATGGGGAACAGAAAGAAGACCAATAAGGTTGAAGATCCTTGAACATGGAGTGAAATAAGACCAGAAAAGTAAGCAGGGGCCAAATTTTATAGATTTAATAGTGTTATATAGTTATTTTACAGACCAGATGTTTTTTCTAGGGTTTTGTAATTTATGATTATTTTTTCCCCAGATTACTTTCATGTTTAAGGATATATTTTAGTGCAGCCTAAGCTGTTTCGTTCTGTTGTACAGAGGCTTGCTATGAGTGGGAGTTGTGTTGACAGCACCTAACAACAAAGCCGTCTGAAGTTTACTTGCCCATTAATAAGATATTATTATAAACCAAATTAAGGAGTTTGGTTTTTATTTTAAGAGCATGGGAAGGCACTGAAGAGTTTTAAGTGACACATCGTCACAGTTGTGATTTTAAAAGATCGCCGTGTTTACAATTGGGAGAAATGAATTGGCAGGGAACAAAAGTGAATGTAGGGAAGCTAATTAAAAGCTAATGCAACAATCCAGACAAGAATTGATGGTAACTTGAACTGGGATGGTGGCAGTGGATATGAGTTGTGAAAGATATTTAGGTGCTAAAATCTACAGAACCGATCACATGTTGGGTTTGAGGGATGTTGGGTTTGATGACTGGATGTTGGGTTTGAGGGATGAGAGTAAGAATGATTCCCAGGTTTCTCTGCTTGCAAGTGGGTGGGTGTTGTGCCACTTGCTGGTGGAGAAAGTGATGCTTTCAGTTTATCAGGGTTGAGTTTGAAAAGCCTGTGAGATGATCCCATGTGTATTTAAATCTGTGCTTAAGGCTTTTCCCTCCTCCATAGATCTTTTTGTCCATTTCCATGCCAGTACCACACTGTTTTAATAATTACAGCTTAATACTTCATTTTGGTATCTTATAGAGCTAAATCTCCTTGCATTATTCTTTTTTCTTTAAGATGAATAAAATCAATTTGTCAGCTACCAAAAAGACCACATTGGCTTTTGACTGAAAAGATATTGTATTTATTGATTACTTTGAGAAGAACTAATGTCCTAATAATAGTGAATATTCCCATGTAGAAACATAATTTGTCCTCAGTCATTCAAGTGTTATTTTATTTTTTGGTAAAAATGTTATAGTTTTCTTCTTATAGGCCTTATACATTTTTTAAATTAAGTTTATGTATTTTTGATGCTACAGTAAAATTTCTGTGTTTTTAAACTGGCTATGGCTAGTATGTAGAAAAGCTACATATTCTTCTTGTATCTATCTAGTCCTCTTATTAACCTTTCTTATTAGTTCTGGTATTTAGTGTTGATTCTCTTGGAATTTCTAATTGTCTGCAAATAATCATTTTTATTTCTTTCTAATATTTCAACTTAACTTTTGTTTCTTGTCTGACTGCTTTAAATAGAACCATTTCCTTCATTTATTCAAAATATTTATTGAATGCCTTTATTAGCTACCCACAGTTTGGGGCACTGGGGGTAAAATACAGCAGTGAACAAAACAGACAATAGTCCCTGCTCCCATGGTACTGAAAGTCTAGTTGTGGGGGGACAGATACATAAACAAATCCATAATATTTATTGTAAGTCAAGTGCTGATAAATGTTACAAAGTAGAAAAGCAGGTTAAGGAAGTAAGAGAGTGGTTAGAGAAGGCCTGTCAGAAAGGTGATGTCTGAGCAGAGCCTTGAAGGAAGTGAGAGAGTGAGCATTGTGACTGACTGGTGGAAGAGCCTCCTAGGCAGAAGGAACAGCAAGTGCAGAAGTTCTAAAATGATTATCAATTGGCATTTTGGTGGAAGGAACCAAAAGGAGGCCAGTGTTGCTGGAGTAAGTGGGGAGGAGGATATCAATGTTATCATTCAGTTTGGGGATAGGGGTTAAGGTGGTACTGGGCAGTGCTAGAGCACAGAGGGCCTTGCAGGGCTTTTTAAGAACTTTCGTCTTTTGCAGCGAGTAAAACGGGGAGACGCATGATATCTGATTTACATTTTAGAAGGACCACTCTAAATGACAGCAACATCCTTATCTGGTTGCTGACTTGAATGGAAGTCCCTCCAAGTGTTTTAATCTAGTATTAAAGGATAGTGTTTTCTTGTTTTGATAAATACTTTATCATGCTAAGGATATTTCCTTTTGCTCCTGGTTTACTAAAAATTGTGTTGGTTTTATACATTTTTTAATCAGAATTAAATGTTGATTTTTAGCAAATGCTTTTTCTCTATTGAATTGGTCATATAATCTTTTTTTTTCCTCTCCCTTTGAGCTGTTAATGTAACAAATACACTCATTAATCAAAGAAGGAAAAATTACATCTCTGACCTGTTAGTGTAATAAATTATATTAGTTAGATTTTCTAATTTTGAAGCATCCTAGTACTGTGTTATAAACATCACATAGCCATGATGTATTCTTGTAACACACTGCTAAACCCACTTTGCTAATATTTTACTTAGAATTTTTGTATATGTAATTGTAAGTAATATTGGTCAGTGTTTTTCTTTATGTGTATGTGTGTGCTTAATCAGATTTTGGCTTTGTAAAATGAATTGGGAGTATTTCTGTCTTTATGCTCAGGATTACATTAACGTGGGAATTATCTATTCTTTGAAGATGTAATTAATGTAAGCTTAGAATATTTTGGAGGTTAAATCTTTTGGAAAACCTTTTCGATTTCATCTCATCCATTCAGGTTTTATTCTTGAGCCGTTTTTTTTAATTTACACTTTCCTTAATAATGGCTCTTTTCCTTCACACTAACTTGATTCCACTTAAACACACTTAATGAGCATACTTGCTCCCTTTCTCTAGGACAGCAGACATGCTTCAGAATCACCTGTGGAACCTTTTAAAAGTAGTTTTTTGTTGCTCTTACTTGCCTGCTGCCTCCTCCCCTCTTCTCATTGTTCCCAGAGTCATAGCCTCTAGAGATGGGGCTAGGCTTGTGTAGTTTTGTTATTTTGTTATTTTAATTTTATTGAGATATATACAGAAAAGTGGGCACATGGTAATTGTACAGACCAATAAGTTTTTATCCACCCATGCTACCAGAATCCCAGAAGTAGTGCCCCTCCTAATCACTACCTCTCCCCTGAAGTAACCATTATCCTGTCGTCTAACACCATAGATTGTTTTGTCTGCGTTTGAATTTTATGTAAATAAAATCATGTGGTATGACTCTTTTGTACCTGGCTTCTTCCACTCCACATTATGTTTTTGAGTAGATCATTCATTCTTATTGCTATGTAGTATTCCACTGTGTCACTATACCACCCAGCATTTATTTATCTATTTTCCAGTTAGTGGAGTTTTCCAGTTTTGTGCTCTCACAAATAAAGATGCTCTGAACATTCTCCAACACATCTTTTACTAGAAAATAAGTACTCATGTTTTTGGGTTTATACCCAAGAGGTTATAAGCTATGTATGTGTTCAGCTTTAGCATATTCCGCCAAACTGTGTTCCAGAGTGGTTGAACCAGTTCATACTCCATCAACAATTTATGAGAGTTCCAGTTAGTTTCACCACATTTTTACCAGCACTTGCTATTTTCAATTTTTTTAATTTTTATTAATTTAAATTATCTCTTAGTTTTATCTGTTCTGGTATTGGTATCTCATTGTAGTTTTAATTTGTATTTTCCTGGTGATACTGAAGTTGAGTCCCTTTCTATATGTTTATTGGCCATTGGTTATCCTCATTTGTGAATGCCTGTTCAAGTTTTCCACTGATTATCTTTTGGGTTGTCTGCCTTTTTCTTACTGATTTGTAAGAGTTTATATGTATATATATATTCTGCAGATTCTTTGTTGGTTATGTGAAAAATATATTTTCCCACTTTGAAGTGTGTCTTTTTCACTTTCTGACTAATTTCTCTTAATGAACTGAAACTCCTAATTTTAATGTATTCTATTTTATCAGTTTGTCTTTTATGATTAGCACTTTTGATGTCTTGTTTAAACAATGTTTGCATATCCCACAATCACAAAGATTCCTCCTGTGTTTTCTTCTAAAACCGTGCCTTTCACATTTAGAGTCCCAATCCATCTGGAATTTATTTTTGTGTATAGTATGAAGTAGGGGTCTAGATTTTTTTTTTCTCCCCATGTGGATATCCAACTGACCTAGCACTGTTTATCCAAAAAGATCATCCTTTCAATATTGTATTTCAG